GACCCACCTGGCGTGTGAGCAGCAGAGGCAGCATATGGCATCCCCGTGCTCTGCCTACTGGGTCAGACACACGGGGCCTTCCAGATCACATGAACCAGCCAGGGATTAAATCCAGGGAAGGCTCAAGAGTGACCAGTGGGTCAAAATTCCTGATGGAGTCATAGAAAGTTTGGTCTGGAAGGGACCTCAGGAGGTCATCTAGTCCAACCCCTGTTCAAAGCAGGAACAACCCCAACTAGATCATCACAGCCAAAGCTCTGTCTAGTCGGGTCTTAAGAACCTCGAAGGGTGGAGAGTCCACCACCTTTCTAGGTAACCTGTCCCAGTGCTTTGCTACCCTCTTAGTGAGAATTTTTTTTTCCTAATTGTGACAGCCAGAACCAAAGAAATTAATAAGAAATAATTGTGTGCCTTTTAGAACCATTTGGAAATTTTATCTTATATAAGCTTGTATTTTTGTAACCCGCAAATGTAACTTGTAACTGTTTGTAAAACTGACTAGGCCTCAAAGACAAAGCTATAGTTGTAAAATTAGCTGACCTAATATTTTTTTCTTGCTCAGAAATTAGCCTTGATGATGATAAAAACTGGATTCAACCGCCTGGCCTATCCAGCACATTCCAGCAAAGCACGTCTCAAAAAAGCATCGTCAGAGAGATCTAAAGGAGTTGGATTTAGGCGCAGTACTGTTAATTTCAAACCTGAAGATGCTGCAGTGTAATTTGCTTATTGGATAAACCCAGGACTGGGTAGTAACCTTTTATAATAACTTTTAACACCTTTTTATCCCATAGGGTAACAGCTATAGCACAAGATTGTGCTTGGCTCTAAAGACAACAGATTAGCATAGGACTAGGTATAAAAAGTGCATGCATCAGGTGACCGACAGAAGGAGGGAACAGAACGGTCACTGCTGTTCCACGCCCGGACCCCGGACTCCCCGCGCGAGTGAGGATCGGATCCTGATCAAGGGAACTTCCCCGGTAATCCCACTGACAGTGATGATCGGGGACACCCAAATTCTCTGGAATAACCTGGCGCGCACCTGGCATTGAGGGACTATCAATAATTTGCCAACCCATGTCTGTCTATTTGTTGTTTTAAACAGCCAGTGGCCGATACCCTCACGGTGCCCAATACTGCATTATCTGGCTATCACATTGATCTTTCTGTTAACTGGTGTGTGTGTGTGTAAGCTATAATAAACTTGCAATGATTTACACCCAACCCTGCCTCCTTGATCCCGAACCAAACAGCCCAGTGACTAAACTTATACACTCACAGTGCCCAACTGGCCTGTGACAACATCTCTACCACCCCCATGATTACTACACCCCACAACAGAGCCATCAGCATTCCCAGATCTAACAGCTGCACCTCCAGAAATGTAGTACATCTCATCCAATGCACCAAATGCCCTGATGGGAAATACGTAGGAGAGACCAAACAACACCCGCGCACCAGAATGAACGCACGCCGGAAATCTATCCAAGGCAAGAATACCCAGTGACCTGTGGGGGCACGTTTCTCACAAGAAAACCCCTCTATCTCCAATCTCTAAGTTCGGATCCTCAATAGAAACTTACAAAACCCTTGTCAGAGATGAGCCTATGAACTGCACTTCATCACCTCCTGGATACTAAAAGTCACAGACTAAATATAGACCCTGGATTTATGACATATTATAAGCTGCCTGACATCCGACTCCCCAGGTACCTCTCCGCTATTCACCCCCGTTCTTTCCCCCCTCGCCCCCCTCCACCTCAATTCACATCTTCACTGACAGACTATTTTGTATGCACACCAGCCCAGCCTGTGCCTTCTTTATTTCTCATTCCATCCATGAAGAGCACACACCAACTACATAAACTTTCTTAGCCTGGCAAAGGATTTTAAACCCAAAAGATTGCTTAATTATTTTTTCCAACTATTTAAGTTGGGCTAATAGAAGATATCAGATTCACCCAAAGAACACTGTCTACTTCTTGTATCATTATCTTTTCTTATTGCGTTATTATATATTTGGATGTATGGATGAATAAATGAAGAGTGAATTGTAAAAGCAGAGTAAGCTATATGTCAGCAAAGAAGTTACCAAATGGTGAATCATGTTGAAGTGGCTGAAGATCTCAGACTGTACCAGGCAAAGAATAAAGATAAACAGAAAAGATAAGATTAAAGACAAGGTCTGCAACATCTCAAAGCTAGAAGCTCTGGACACAGCACACACCAGCGATAATGGAAGGATGTCGTAAAACAGAGTGATTGAAGAGTAACGCTGCAAGACCACAATGCATGAGCCTAACTGCTTGTCAGCATGGAAAAGTACTGAGATTTTAGACAAAGAATAACGCTGCAAGACCACAATGCATGAGCCTAACTGCTTGTCAGCATGGAAAAGTACTGAGATTTTAGACAAAGAAGTTAAAGAGTCAGGAAAGGTGGACCGGTCACCCAACACCAACTTGATAATCCCTATAAAGGAGAGAGACTTAGCAGTAAGCGGTGGGGTAACACTCTGTGAACTTCACTGGAGCAGTCTGTCTCCCCCATTCCTGATCTCATGCTAACTAGGCTGCCCACCTATAGTATTTGAGCAACAAACTTTGGTAAGTATAACATCCGCTGAGTGATTTGAGTGAGTGCGTGCGCTCTTCTGCATATTATAATCAATACACGAGGCATTTTGCATCATGTTCCTCATAAAGTCTCGCTCATCATTTGAGCTAGCTGGTAATTTGTGCAGCACTCTAACCTCCCAGGTGGACACCTTCCTCTCCAAACTCCTCTTCCCTCAGTTTATCTAAGCTGCAGGACAGGAGCCAGCCCAAGGCAGAAACGAGCTTCCCTGGCACCAGACTGATGGAGCAGCTGGACCTGATGTGCAGGTAATGATGTTAACTGAGAGGAAATTAGGGCCTCATTAACCCTTTCTAGCCTACTGCTCTTCCAGCAGTCTGGTCTCCATCAGAGCACGGACAAGGTGTGTGTTTATGCACAGGAGGGTGGAAGTTGTCCCCTTGGCCTCTGCAGGACCAGGTCCCACCTCTGCAGACACTTCCAGGGACTAGGCCCTTGCAGCTCCAATATCTGGAGACTCCCTCCCACCAGCCCCTTATTGCTTTGCAGTGAGAGGGCATCCTCTAGCTCAGCACAGCCTATGTAGAGAGGCAGAGATGTCCAGAGAGACTCAGTGCCCTGCCATGTCACAGCTTTCTGCAGCATGTGGGACAAGGGCCCTCGGGGCAGAGACAGCCCGAACCATGCCCCCCACACCCCCACACCGCTCCTGTCCCACTGCACCAGCACACGGGGACCCCGGCTCCTTCCCACCAGCAAGGGACGGCGCCACACACCCTGCACTGTGTTTGCTAGGGCCCTAAACATCCTCTTGCCCCTTTCCCCTAAGCATTCCCCACTAGGGATGCAGAAACAGCCCCTGCCCTACAGCCTGCAGCCAGGCAGGGCTCAGCTATTCCCCGTCTCTCAGTCCTACCCAGCCTGAGCGATCCTTGCATCCCTGACCTGGTGCACTGATCCCCAGGGAAGTCATCAGCACAACACCAACCACTTTTCCTGCTGGAAGTGAGACCCCCAGCAAGAGCACAGGGACAAGCAGCAGGGTCACTGCGTGTGTGCCTTGGCAAAGGGTACAGATATGGAGTTACAGGCAGTGCATATAGCACAGGGGCACAAGTACGCACACAGAGTAGAAAAACATGCACACACTAAAGCACACACAAATAAGTCCCTCCATATTATTCCTAGGTCAGACCCTGGCAAACTCTGTCTGTGTAAGCTTAGATCAACCTAGCAAACCTGCCCATGTAGCTGCCTCTGGAAACTCAGGGCCACTGCACCCAGGAGCTGAGCTTCCCTCCTGGGCTCTGGTCTCTGCTCCTGCAGTGCCCTCCTCTGCCCCCTGCTCCTCCAGGCCCTAGTCCAAGGTAAGGGTTGGGGGCTGCAGACTTCTCCACATGTTGCACAGGACACAGGCAGCACAGGCACACAGAGAAGGGCAGGAGGTGGGCCAAAAAGAAGCAGGTCCCTTACAGGTAGATAGTGCCTTTGTCAGCATTTCCCCTGGCTGTGCTCAGTAAGACAGAAGGCAAACCAATGCGTCCCCCTGCTCCACCCCAGTCCCCTGCCATTCGCTGTAATGCCTGCCCAACCCTAGGTGATTCCCACGAGTATGGGGAAGCCCCAACCTGGATCTGTATGCTCCAAGCTCCATGTCCCACTCCAACATGGCCTCATCATGAGCTTGCGCTGCCCCACACCGACCCCACCTGCTGCCTTTGCATCTCCTGAAAAAGCAGGAGCTCCTTGGGGCAGGGCCCTGATGTCTGCTCTGGGCCGGTGCAGCACGAGCACAACAAAGGCTGGACCAGAGCTGTAGCCAGTCAGAGCTGTAAGGACAAGGGAGGACCTGGCATGAGCAAGGGGAAAACCACACACATCCCCTGAGAGCAGGGATCAGCAGCGGACACTGCACTGCACCAGTGGAAGAAAATGCACACAAACAGGCACACATCCATCCCCATCTCCAGCCCCAAGCCCCTCAGGCTCCCAGGCTCCCAGGCTCCCCCAGCTAGCACTGCCACCTCAGGGAACATTGCTGGTGCCCAAATCCCTACAAAACCCAGTACCCATACCCTAACTCAGGTTACTGACACACGGGCACACAACATGACCTGCTGGGATCTGGCCTCATCCCTGCCAGGTGCCATCATCTCCTGTCCACCTGGCAAATGGGGATGTCTTATCCCAACTAAGGAGAGAAGACCCAAATGGACCAAGGCTGAAGTTCAAGGGCCCCTGAGATACTCATGCCCTGTCATCAGGAGGGTGCAGAAGAGCATGGAACTGAAGCCAGAGTCCTGCCCACAGCCTGGTTCAGCCATGGATCCAAGCACCGGCCCTTCCCCTCTGTCTGTGCTCATCCCACCCCCTTCTTATGTGCCAGAGACTCAGAGCCCTGTGCAGAGAGGGGAGGGCCCTGTGCTGAGCACTCCCAGCCCAGGGCTGCTCACACCCTCCTGGCAGCTGCATGCAAATCCCTGGCCAGGGGCTCCTGCTTAAATACAGCTTCTGGGCCGTGAAGCCTCAGTCCATGCCCGGCCCCTTCTTGCCTTCTGGGAGTCCCCCTTGTTCTAGGGCAATGGAAATGAGCTACTTATTTTTCTTCCTTTCTCTTGTCTCTTCTCTCCCATGTAGGTTTTGGGGAAGGGTGGTGGGAAGCCAGAGCGCTGGTCTTCCTCTCTGGACCTTTTCTTCACCTACTTTCTCTTTTCTTTAGGTGTGCTCTCTGCTGTGCAGCTGGTTGAGTCTGGCCCAGGGGTGGTGAAGCCTGCAGAGACCCTCACCCTGACCTGCACTGTCACAGGTTTCTCCATCACCACCAAGGGTAACGCTTGGAGCTGGATCCGGCAGCCTCCTGGGAAAGGGCTGGAGTGGATGGCAAAGATAGATGGAAGCAGTGGTAGCACATACTACAACCCATCCCTCAAAAGCCGCATCACCATTTCCAAGGACAACTCCAAGAGCCAGTTCTCCCTGCAGCTGCGCTCTCTGACAGCCGCAGACACCGCCACGTATTACTGTGCCAG